TCGTCTCTTAAGTTTTTTCATTTATGCATGCATAAGAAGCTAGGATTACGTCATGTATAAGTAATTACTCTCTAAACTGAAACTGTGTTTAAGTAATAAGCATCCTAAGAAATCCTGGCCATTTATGCTCTTCAGGAATAAAGGCATGAGAATCAGAAGGACCTCTAATTGGAAATGTGAAAGCATTCCTATGTACACACATGAAAAACATGAGAGTTCCTGATCACCACAACTACCGACAATATATCTACCCACGAAGGTTGCATGGGAAAACTTGTAAAGTACTTTCCTTTCGTAATACTTCCTAGATCTCATCATTTCTAAAAGAATGCCATTGACCAAACTTTCCTTACTTTCTACAATCTAATCATAAACCGTTTAGGAAAATCCAATAGTAGAGATTCATCATTCATATCCCATATGAACACTTTTCGTAACTGTTGATTTACTTGATTCACTTTTAACACTAGCGTTTACATATGTGAATCACTGCTGGATCCAGTCGTATGGGATAAGATTTCCTACTATAAATGGACTCTCGAGTTATAAGTTCTTACAACAAAAAACATATAAGTTCGTCAATCAAGGTATTCGAAAACTATGAGCTGGCATGGAAGTATCTAAGATAGTAGTACAGAGGATTCATTTATGTGAAACCAATAAAATTCTATAAGCTGAGGCAAATTACAATTCGGATACCCATTTTGAAACGGTCATAATACAAACTTCAACAACAGAAAGCTAGCTCATCTGTGTACCCTTATTTAGAATGTACAAGAAACAAAGAACCATATCCCAACAAAAATCTAAATCATTTTTTTTTTTTGTACATTAACTATCCCAACAAAAGGAGAAACAATAAACCAAAAACCCAACTCACCTCCACTGATGACAACAATTCACCGCAAAATCGACCACTTCTCAGATTTCCACTGGCAATTCACCTCATGGAATGGTTACCACTAAGAACCTGAACCAAATTTGAAGCATTTTTTCTAATCCTTTCATTATCGTCTTCAACCAAACCCACACAAATAGCCAAAGCCCCTTCATTTCTAGCTTCCACACACATTGGTTCACTAAAAGAACAGAGTGAATTCAAAGTAAGGAGCGCATATTGAACCCCCCTAGAGCTCCCATTCTCCAAAACCCTCACTAATATCCCCACACACCCATTAAACCTCTCCATCTCTTCCCTACCTTCCCTGCACTTAGCCAATAGACCCAGAACTTCGACCGCCCGTTCCAGGCCCGATTCGGCAATTCGGATCAAAATCGACACCGCCCCACATTCCACGGCCCGGCGCCGATTATCCGGGAACAAACAGATGGTGTAAAGCGCCGTAGCCGCCTCTTTCTTCTCTCGACTTTTTCCGTCCCTAAGAAGCGAAACCAGCGCCCGAATTGCGTAAGGGTATGCCCCAATTGTGGCCTTATTGACCTCCACAACGGCTAAGCTCGTCAACATGGTTGCCGCCACGGCTCGGCTATTGGGGGACCCGCCTTGCAGCACCGTTACGATTCGAGCGATGGCTCCCTCGGCTACAAGACCCACTTTGTTATCGTCGTCCAAACTGACATTGAGCAGCAAAGTTAGGGCCTTTTCTTGGAGGCGCGGCTCGTCCGAGTCGACACACTTGAGGACGGCCGAGACGGCGCCTGACTCGGTGAGTTTGGCGCGAAAGGCGGAGTCGCGCTTGGAGAGGCGAGCGAGCTGGTCGAGCGAGTCGAGCTTGGACTCGAGGGTTGAAGCTCGGGAAGTGAGCGATGAGATTAGGGTTGGAGGTTGGGAGTGGCGTTGCTGTTGGTGGTGGTATTGGTGGTGGTGTTGATGATGGTGTTGTAATTTGGCAGGGGAGAGAAGGGTATAACTGGAAATCAGGCTGCGGAGGGCGTGGTTGGGGATGAGGGAAGGGTGGTCGGGAAGGGGCAATTTGGTAATAGGGCAGGTGCGGTGGCCGGCGTCAAGCCAGCGTTGGATGGAGGCCCGATCAAAGGTGTGACCCGAAGAGAGTATAACCGGGTCGGACATTATTTCGAGCGAAATCGGGCACTTGAAATCGTCCGGGAACTGAGTCGCCATTTCTGAACTCGCTCGCGTCACTCGTGAAAAATCAATGAGAAAGAAAAGGGTTTACGAGGTTTTCGGGTGCTACAGGTTGAGCGTGTTTTTGAGACTTCCAGACTTTGAGAGAGAGTAGAGAAGAGAGAGACAAACAGAGACTTTCACCACCAAATCCTAATTCTCTGAATTCTAAATACACACTTGCAGTCCAAAAAAAGAAAAAACAATTGTAATAAACTTTGTCAATTACCGTTATACCCTTCCAAAGCTTTTTGTCTCTTTTCTCCTTCGGCCAAGAATGAGTTTTCGCCTCATTGGCCAGCAAAAAATAAGGGTTTCAACTCTGACTTGTCGAAGATTCAAGTTAGCTGAGTTGGTCATGGTAGTGTGTTTGTTTCATTGTATTTAAGTTTGAGTCTCGTTCTCTATAAATTATATTAGTTATAGTGATTTAGACTATTGATTGTATATATGGCAATTGACACGATATTTTATGAGAAATGACTATAATACCCTAATAATATAAGTTATTCTCTTTTTTTCTTATTTGGAAATTTATGAAGAACATGAGCTGGTGTCGGTTGCTTACCAAAGAGTGTCGCATGCCTTCTTTTCAAATTTTCAAAGGGAGGAAAGTCATCATTCCCTCTCCGCTTTTTTTACTGAATGACCCGAAAAGGTCATGTCTTTAGCAGATGCCGCAGAGGGGTGATTTGGGAAAATCAGATTTCCGCTTCGTTTCCAACGGTTCTCTAGTTTTAGTCACCGTCACGGGAAACCTCTACAGTAACCCTGGTCCGGACGTATGGAATCAATCACCAACCTTTACTTTTAACGGAATGACTTAAATGCCCCTGTTAGAGTCAATCTTGCGGGCCAAAAAATATTGCCTACTTGGAAAACACGTGTTTCCTTTTGATTATGTCACGTGAGTGAACAGCCCTCACCGGTTTCACACCAGAAATAAAGACACAGAAGCACACAAATTAAGTTTGACTAATCCTCCAATTAAGTTTGACTTAGCCTCCAATAGATCAATTTGAGCAGGACGTGCTAAGCAATCATACCCATTTTATTTTGTTTAAAAATCTAGTATAAATAAATAAACCTCAAATTCCCCTCCATATAAACATAAGTATAAAAAAAATGTGAACACTAGTAAGTCTAAACGTAATTATTTAGTAATTTAATTAATAAATTGGTTATATCATCACAGTTGCCAGAAAAAAAAAGAAAAAGAAGAAGATATATTTCGAAGTTGAAAGAGACGTAATCTGTGCTTAATTATATGTTTTTTTTTATTTTGTCATCAAGATGATCTTTGAGCTTTTTTTATAAGTTTTCCTTCCATATTCTAATGCAAGGTGTGCCTCGTACAAGTTATCTCACCGTTATTAAATCATCAATTGCTTAATTGCGACATTTAATTAGATTAGATTAGGGACGTCATGAGGAAAGTGACGGGCATGCATAATTAAATATTGTGCCTTGAAGATTAACCCAAACAAACTATGGATGATGCTGACTATACACGACACATAAGATAAAAGCCTAATTAAATTTCCATCCAAGGGTAACGACAAAAATCGGGCCATAATTATCAAAGCATTCATTCAAGAATCTGTTTATGTTCAAACCCAACTCTACTTCATTGAATTTTAATCAAGAGGGGGAAGAAATTTGAATGTCTTTTTTTTTTTTTTACTTCAATATTTGATTGATCAAGTAGAGAAAAACAAATCTCAACGTCCTTCCTTTTTTAATTTTATTTTTTTTGACTTTTTGGCTTTCATTTGTCAAAGTTTAAATTTATGGTATGAATAATACTAAGTCTTTTTGGCTTTCATTTGTCACAATTTTATACTACATGATATGGCAGTTGATAAGTGTAGCATTACTCTTTGCGGAAGAAATTTGAATGTCTTTTTTTTTTTTTTACTTCAATATTTGATTGATCAAGTAGAGAAAAACAAATCTCAACGTCCTTCCTTTTTTAATTTTATTTTTTTTGACTTTTTGGCTTTCATTTGTCAAAGTTTAAATTTATGGTATGAATAATACTAGTCTTACCGCATTTGTATATCACAATTTTATACTACATGATATGGCAATTGATGTGTATATACCACATCAGCTAATTAATGTGATTAACATATTTTTATTTTCTTTATTAAAATATACTTTATTGATTTAATTAATGTGGTATATAATATGGACATGTCACATTATACGAGATAAAAATATGATAAGTGTAGCATTACTCTTTATGGTATAACTCTCCATTAAGTAACCAAATTGGATAAAATAATTATGGTAGAAGTAGAATCATGCATGCACCGCCCTTTTGAATAATTTAGTTTGGTGGTGTGTAAAAAAAAAGATTCCCCTCGTATCATAAAAGCTCTCATAGTCTCGAGAAATATTCTTTACTTTCGTTGCATTCTTTCGTTCTATTTATGTTCTTATGTCACTTATCAAAGAAGGAGAGAGATAGGAAGAATGAGACAATACAACATGAATATGGAAGTTTTTCTTTTAAGTCCCATTCAAACAAAAAAGAAAAGACAGAAGAAAAAAATCCATTATTTAAGAGCGTTATAGAACTCTGCCCAAAAAAAAAAAAGCGTTATAGATATAGGAAAAAAGAAGAAGAAGTAAATCCTAACAAATAATATTATGCATAGCCCCAAAAGTTAAAAATAACATAATATAATCCCATTTAAAGTTTTTAATACAAAAAATGAAGAAGGTTATTGCAAAACAAAAAAAGATAAAGAGGATGAGAAATCCAAAGAAGAGGTGAAAGCGACATGCTGAACAAGTAGAAAGTGATGGCATGGATTATTTAGATCATCCAAAATAGAAATTATGGGAGAAAGTGAGTGATGGATGGACCTTGAAAATTCTCAGCCTCTTGCTTTTGAAAAAAAGAGAAAAAGAGAAAGGGACGCCAACAACAGCAACTGACGTGATAAAAAATTAAGAGATAAAACGTGATCCATGAGTTAAATTACATTCAATCGTACTAATCAAAGCTTAATTACAATTACTAATTAATAAGCTTCAAGCTATCATTACTACTTGTACTAATTAGCTTATAACGTACAACATTTTGCAGCCTAGGCCCTTCATTAGCGAGCTTCTATTTCTGTACATGTTACATCATTTACAGAGTAAGCTCCTTCAGTGCTGGCTGATGGGTCTCCACTAGTATGATAACTTCTCTTAACCAAAAATCCAGGTTGCCTTGGTGAAGGAGCTGCTGCATTATTTCCCAGCAAGGACACAACCCCAGACATTGTCGGACGATTAGTCGCGTGCTCCTGCACGCACAAGAGCGCGATTTGAATGCATCTTACAACTTCATCGACAGGGTACGATTCGCCCAAAGTTGAGTCAATGATTTCCGAGGCTCTACCTTCTTTCCACAAGTCCCAGACCTGAGAGTACACAGCTTACAAATTAATCAAGTTTGGGGGCAATAAGTAGAGAGTAGTTAGGCTTGCAAATAGCTAGACTTGTATGCTTGCTTACATGTCCAACCAAATTTGAGTCCGGATTATCATGGTAGTAACCGGTATTCTTTCTGCCACTGACGATTTCTAGCAGTAAAATTCCGAAGCTATATACATCACTCTTTACCGAAAATAGTCCTTCCATTGCGTACTCTGGTGACATATAACCACTACAGCAAAAACGCAACGTAATTTGTTATCAAATTTTGTACTCCTTCAGTTTGTGGCATTGCGACATAGGATTGACATTATAACAAATAGGGGTACTGGAAATTGGTAGCACCATCCGCGAGAAAATTGATTCATCCGTGATAGTAAACACGACAGATAGCTCATCTTGATTGTTCACAAAAGTGACGTTGAATATGAAATTAATTGTCATTTTGGGCACACCGCTCCATCTCTCCCCGATCCATGCCCCGGCACGCCAACGCGGGGCTTGATCCTTGTATAAAAACAGCTGCGGAAACCCACTCCTAATAAAAAGTCGGAAATTAGACTACATTCATGCCTGATTCAAGTTTTAAAGAGGCAGTGAAAGATGTAATAGCGAAAAGAAGACGTACCAAAAATGAAAGAATCCAAACTACTGTTAGGTAAGTATTCATAGATTAGCATCTTCTCTTCATCTTGAACGCAGCAACCTAAAATCCTGACAAGGTTTCGGTGCTGGAGTTTTGCAATCAGCACAACTTCATTCTTAAACTCTTCAATTCCTTGGCCTGAATTCTTGGCTAGTCTTTTCACTGCTATTTCCTTCCCATTGTAAAGCACACCCTGATCACATCATAATCCAAATTTAACTCATTGTGCAGATGTCCTGTCCCTCAAAATGCACTTGCATTGTACATTCAAAAAGAGTAAAATCGATGCATGCACATACATCATGTGAGGGAAAATCAAAAGACCTTATACACAGAGCCGAAACCGCCTTCTCCAAGCTTGTTATTGGAAGAGAAATTGTTTGTTGCTGCAGCTATGGTACGCAGTTCAAAGATTGGTAAGTCTGACTTTATTCTGCTTTCCCCAAGATCTGTTCTAGCAGGAGAATCTTCCAAGTAGGTTGATGCTGTGGCCAGACTGAACGAAAATTTATCTTGTCTTCGCTTACCTGCCATCAAGTACAGAAACAGATGATCTTAACACAGTTTGTGAAGCTCCAATCATTTCCAAAAATGAAAATAAAGACCCCAAGAATTTCAGACAATCTGAATGCAGTATGTTAAGTTGTTAACTAGTTACACAATGAGAAAGCTTTTAAATTATAGCTTTTTCTCATTAACAAACAATAATTAGAATTAGTGAAAGTAAATTAGTTTACCTTTTATCTTCCTCTTTGCCAGCCAAAACACAATGCAGAACAAGAGAAAGAACACTAGACCAGATGCTAGTGAAACTGCCAGCTTCCCCTTATGAGGGTAGCTGAGATTTTAAACACACAGAGGTCCACCTGGGAGTGGTTGTAAAAAGAGAGCATGACATAGACACTCAACCAGAATCTTAACTAGCTGTGTAGTTATTGGGTGGAGTTTTTCTTCCTTTGGCAACTTAGAAACGTGTTGCAAAATGTAAATTTGAAAGCTTTGTTAACAGAGAACGCGTGAATGCGATCTTCAGTAGCTGTGTAGTTATTGGGTTCTTATGTCCAAGTTTGTAGCTTATACAAAGGAAAATCTTGCTCACAGATTGCACTTGAGACTTTTCAAGTCTTTATGTTCAGCAATTTTCAATGGTCGAAAATATATCGTGAGACCAATAATTCTAACTTGCCCCACACGTCAACTGATAAAGAAAATTGAAAATTGTTGTTTTAAACAAACTTTTTTCTATATTTTCGCGCCTTTACACGTGGCACCTTCACGAACCCTTCCCCGTTTCGACAAAGGGACGCTCCTTCTGTACTCACGCACCCACCCGACCCGTCTCGCAAATACCATTCGTGGAGCAGCTTGGGTTCGAAACCGGGTAGGCACGTGCACTCGAACTTTTCCGCATTGGACGGGTCACAATTGCTATTTGCACCACACTTCCCATATTCATCACACTGCTGTTCCGGGGCCGACCAAAACTTGACCCACTGGTGCACCTGCTTATGCCACGTGGATCGTTCAACGATTCCTAATTCATCAAGCACCATCCGCGAGAAAATTGATTCATCCGTGATAGTAAACACGACAGATAGCTCATCTTGATTGTTCACAAAAGTGACGTTCATTTTGGCCACACCGCTCCATCTCTCCCCGCTCCATGCCCCAGGTGCCCCGGCACGCCAGCGCGGGGCATGATCCTTGTATAAAAACAGCTGCGGAAACCCACTTGGGTCAATCCCATACGAACAGGTACCAGTTCCCGGGTCATCTTTGGACTTCCAGGATGTGAGAAACCGGTTCAGCTTGGACCGCCGGTCCAGCCCAAGTTTCATAAATGGGAGCAGTGTGTTAGAGGGATAATCAAAGCCTTGCCAGAGAGGACTTTGGCTACCGTTTTCAAGCAAAACAAGGTTCCCTGTATCCAAGAGCTTGGCTGTGGAGTTGTTTGGTGAAGAGACTGTGACATTAGCGGACCAAAGAGGGCTGCTTTGGTTCTTCCAGTAGATGACAAGGCCGCCATGGCTGTTAATGGCTAGGAGGCCAGAGGTATCAGTGACAGGGTTGTCTCTGTTTGCAACCCAGACGATGGTTTGCTCTGGAACTTTGTTGTACCAAACTCCAACATAGCGTTTCTGAGAATTGCCGGGACTGAAGAACCCAAGTGCAAAGATTTTCTTGCTAGACACCAAAACGTCGCCGTCTCTGAGGGGTTGGTTTGGCGTAATGGTGTCAAGGGAAAAAATGCAATTTTGATTTGTTGGGAATTTGATTTTCTAGTATTTTTATTTGAATCCAAATAGGGGGTACTTCCTTATTTACATTGTAAACTTAAATAAATGGAGTAATATAAAAACAAATTAAATTAAAAGACAAAACATTTATGTAAAGAATGTTTGGTTGAAAGGCTTTGTTGTATTGTCAATAGTAGAGTACAGCAAAATATATACTACCAATATTACAAAATCTCCGTAGCGTGATCCTCAATTCTAGGGATTGATTTGGATCTGTCTACCTATATCAAGTAACTACTCTATGTACAGTTATAATTAACATATTACAATAATAATATATCAATTACAATATATTATTCTAATAGTTTTAAACAAACTTTTTTCTATATATTTTTATTTTAAAAATATGATACTTTTGCAAGCTTAGGGAGTAGCATTTGCATCAACAAACCAATTTGGGTTGGCCCTTTCACACAGCAACAAATTAGATTATGTTGTAAATAATCTTTTGCAAGCTGCTGTAGGTAGCTTAACGGGTAACATTATTTTTAAATCCGGACAGTGCTCACCCCTGACATTTTGGATCCTAGGCCTTTACCGAGCTTCTACTTGTGTACATGTCACATAATTTATAGAATTGGCGCCTTCATTGCTGGTTGATGGGTCTACACTGTTATAACTTCTCTTCAATAAAAATGCAGGTTGTTTTGGTGAAGGTACTTCTGTGTCATTACCTAGCATGAAAACAACTGCTGACATGGTTGGCCGGTCAGTGGCATACTCTTGCACACACAAGAGGGCAATTTGAATGCATCTCACAACTTCATTCACATGGTTTGCTTGAGCCAGAGAAGAATCAACGATTTCCAAGACTTTACCTTCTCTCCACAAGTTCCAAACCTAAATAGGATATTACATAATCAAGTTAGTTAGCATGAACAAGTAAAGGATAAGCTACTGGAAAAATCATTGCTTTGCAAATAGGCTACAGTAAACTTACATGGCCAACCAAATTCGAGTCGGGATATTTCTCGTGGTAGTAACCAGAATTTTTTCTGCCAGTAATGATTTCTAGTTGTAAAACGCCAAAACTATATACATCAGACTTTACTGAGAACAGTCCTTCCATTGCATACTCTGGTGACATATAACCACTACAGTAACAGTAAAAACAAAAGTGATTATCAAGCTTAACGTACATAGTTTGTAGTGCTTTCGGAGGAAACTTACTATGTTCCGACCACACGATTTGTACTCGCTTCATTTTGGTCTCTTCCAAATATTCTTGCCAAGCCAAAATCTGCAATTTTGGGGTTCATAGCAGAATCCAGCAAAATGTTGCTGGCCTTTAGGTCTCTATGGATGATCCTCAATCTTGAATCTTGATGAAGATATAAGACCCCTCTAGCAATCCCACAAATAATCTCAAATCTTCTTGTCCAATCTAAAAGTGCTTTGTTTGTCTCATCTGGGAAAAGTAAGAAAGTTAAGACTACATTCTTGCTTGCTCAGTTCTTTAAGTGACATTATAAAAGCATGAAGAATAATACTTACTAAAAATGAAAAAGTCCAAACTCTTGTTTGGCAAGTATTCATAGATTAGCATCTTCTCTTCATCTTGAATGCAGCAACCTAAGATCCTCACAAGGTTCCGGTGTTGGAGTTTTGCGATTAGTACAACTTCATTCTTAAACTCTTCAACTCCTTGACCAGAATGCTTCGATAGTCTTTTCACTGCTACTTCCTTTCCATTATAAAGCACACCCTGAAAGTACGTATATAATCTAAAAGGAGTAAAAAGTGATGCATATGCACATCAAAATTTGACTGATATTAGAAATAATCAACTATACGTACCTTATAGACTGAGCCAAAACCGCCTTTTCCAAGCTTGTTTTCGACGGAGAAATTGTTGGTGGCTGCTGTTATGGTTGGTAGATCAAAGAATGGTAAATCTGAGTTTATTCTACTTTCATCAATTTCATCAACATCTACAGAAGAGTCTTCCAAGTAGGCTGACCCTGTAGCAAGTCTAAGTGCAAACTTATGTTGTCTTTGTTTACCTGCCATTAAATACAGTCTTATAGCATAGCCTTTTCGCCATGAACAATGTGAGAACTCAGTAACAACTGAATCATTTTCATAAACTTATGTTTATGAGACAATAACAACTGAATCATTTTCATATCTTAATGGATAGAAGGGAAATCAGAGAATGGATGTTTACCTTTTTTCTTCCTCCTTACCGTGCAATACCAAAAGAAAACTACAAGGAGGAGCACTGGAGCCAGTAGTGAAATTGCTATCTTCCCCTTTTTGCTAAGAGAACTATTTGACTTCTTTGCATACTCACCTAAAACCAAATAAAATCCAATCAGCTTATGATTAGGCATCTAACAATTTTGGTCACTACGGAATTTTTAAAGTTATATGAGATGGATGCACTTGTTGAACTGAGTAGCCTGGCATGGGTGATCCTAAAGTAAAGAGTTTCTGCACATCATTTATCAAATAAAATATAATTTATAATATTTATTTCATGCGATTAGCTCTTGAATAACTATGATCATTAATCGCGTAAAAGGGTTCTAAAAAGTCAATCTTTAAGATGAACTAGTTATGCTACGGTCAATTGTTCACCATCCTAATAGTTTCGAGCATGATCTTAGGGGGACGGGGGATACTCTATCAAAGGTAAAGTTCCTTCTCCCGCTTGTGGTTGACAGGGTAAGGCTACGTAGTTAGACCGATGATTGAGCCTATACATGTAAAAAAACTCGCCTAATTCCTGACAACATAGTCCAATTTTTATACTTATTACTTATCCTTTATCAATAAAATACTCACCCTTCTCTTTAAAAAAAGGATAAAGAGGTACCTAAGGTAATTGCATCAACTCGTACATATAAATCTAGACCCAGATCCGAATAAGTCCTCGTGTCCATCAAATCTCCATGCCATGTCACGCACCCAATTCCACCCTTGGCCTTATTCTCACCGGTGTAAGCCATGCAAGAACAATCCCTTGAGCATTCTTTCTTGCACGCTTTGAAGCTCAAACTCATGTTCACACGCGCCGAGGACGAGTCTGGTATCTTCACACGTTCCACCTTCACGAACCCTTCCCTGTTCCCACACGTGGATGTTCCCCTTTTTCTGACGCACCCACCCGACCCATTGAAATACCTCCACTCATACTCCGACTTGATTTCAAACCCGGGCAGGCAGCCACACTGGAAGTCCTCAGAATGACTTGGGTCGCAATTACCATTTGGCCCACAGTTTCCGTAGTTTTTTTCACACTGCTCCCCAGCTTTATCAGACCAAATTGTGAGCCAGTGATTTTGTCGATCATTCCACAGCATGGATACCAAGATCCCTGATTCTAGTAGCGTTGTCCTTGACAACGAGTAGGTTGGATCATTGACGATGTTCATAATCGATGTCTCATCTGGATTGTTCTCGAAACTGGAATTGAAGATGCCCCGAAACGCGGGGTCGTAGTGGTAACCGCCCCATCTCTGCCCCAACCAAGATCCTTTCCGCCACAGCGGAGCTCCATCCTTGTAAACAATCAGCTGTGGCAAACTACTGGAGTCAATCCCGTATGTGTAGTTCCCAGTTCCCGGGTCGTCTGGGGACTTCCAAGACGTTAGGAACCGGTTTAACCCAGACCGCCGGTTCAGCCCAATTTTCATGGACGGAAGTATTGTGTTGGAGGGATAATCAAAGCCTTGCCACAGCACCCTTGGGCTAACACCATTGTCTTCCTCAAGCAAAACAAGATTTCCTGTATCCAAAAGCTTGGCTGTCAATGTCATGGAATTGTTCGGCGAAGAAGAGGCTGAAACATTAGCAGACCAACGAGGGGTATTTTGATCCTTCCCATCATAGATGACAAGGCCTCCATCTCGGTGTACAGCTACAAGTCCAATTCCAGAGGCATCATTAATATTATCAGTGACAGGAATTATGGGGTGGTCTCTGTTTGCAACCCAGACAATGGTTTGGTTTGGAATTTTGTAATACCAAACTCCAACATACCGGTTACGAGAATTGGGTGGGCTGAAAAACCCAAGTGCAAAGATTTTAGTGCTAGAGAGAAGAACATCGCCATCTCTCATGGGTTGGTTTGGCTTTATGGATCCAATGGTAATGGTAGTGGAAGGCGGGAGAATTACTACAAGGAAGATGAGCATTACTAGTATGGTATTCATGGAAAACCATCTAGTAGTATAGTTCATGGCTAACCGAAGAAACAGAGGGTTAGCTTTCCTTTCTCATTGGTTATTAACTCCTTTTTAATGGAAGAAACCAAGAGGAAAAAGGTTGGATTTGTTTTCAACGCAGCGGTCAACCAAGGGCTCGTAGAAAAGGTGTAAGAAACTTCAACAACTATCATGTGGTCAGAATTTGCTAACTCTAAGATCTTTCGATAATTTATGAATCTACTCTCGGATTGGCTGACTATATCAGAAGACTAGGAAGTCCACTATGGTAGCTTTACACTCATTATTATTTTATTTTTTTGCTGTTTGACATTTATATTATTTTCAGGCTCAATATTGCTACCAAATATCACAGCCAATATACAAATCAGCTTTGTGGAATCACGAGTCAACCAAACGGTGTTGTAGTAACTTTGGAGTCTCTAAGACATTCTCACACTGCAATGGTTATTAAATTTTTTTAATGGGATTGACACAGTCTATATTATTATTACAGGAAAGAGAAGTCCACTATGCCAGCTTTACAATATTGTCAACGTTCATGTTGACAGTTGTTAAATACTCTGTTCCAAGACAGGGGAGCTAGGGTGAACTTTTGTATACAATTCAGAATGTCAATTTGTTCCTCATATTTGCACAAGTCTTCTTCACGAGTCAAACCAATATGCAATTATTATTAGGAAAGAGAAGTCCACTATGCCAGCTTTACAATATTGTCAACGTTCATGTTGACAGTTGTTAAATACTCTGTTCCAAGACAGGGGAGCTAGGGTGAACTTTTGTATACAATTCAGAATGTCAATTTGTTCCTCATATTTGCACAAGTCTTCTTCACGAGTCAAACCAATATTCAACTCTGTACTAAGACAAAGGAAAAACAGGGGAACTAGGTTGTACTTTCGTATACTTCTCAGGATGTCAATTTGTTCCTCAGCTTTGCACATATCTTCTTTATGAGTCAAAACAATAAGCAGATTTTTTGTTTTTCAGTTCAAACCAATATACGTTCTTTCGACCATAGAAGAAGTCCTCAAGATGTTTTGTACTAAAACAGGATAACAGGGGAATCAAATATCTTACCAAACAATTACAACCAAGATTTTAGTTGGAAGATTTACTAAATTTTGTCTTAAGTTTGATAACAAATAACAATAAATAAGACTTAACTTTAATATAAATGACTAGGATGTACAACATATAAGTCATTAGCGTGCTTCGAGCATAGTTATCGTTACGCCATTTAGAGAAGGAGTTGATCCTTTTGATGCTGTTGAGTTTGGATTGCTGGATTGTAAAATAAATGCAGGTTTCTTGGGAGAGGGAAGAGCTGTTTCATTACCCAACATGAAAATAACTTCTGACATGGTTGGCCTATCTGATGCACTTTCTTGCACGCAAAGTAGCCCAATCTGGATGCATCTTGAAACCTCATCTGCAGGATATGACTCCCCCAAGGATGGATCAACCATACCTGATGCCTGCTCCTCTGTCCACATATCCCAAATCTGATGCAATTCAGAAGATCAGTTTAGTGTAAAGATTCGAAAGTAATAATATGTAAGTCATTGCATATGTATTTAGAAATACTTTGAATTGCCTACTTGTCCAATCAAATTTGGGGAGGGAGTTTGGTTATCATAACTAGTGTTCCTTTTGCCACTAATGATCTCTAGCAGTAAAACACCGAAGCTAAAAACATCAGATTTTTCTGAATATCGCCCTTCCATTGCATATTCTGGTGACATGTAGCCACTGCACTCAGGCAAAAATGAGATAAACTCTTGAGCTAGTGCAATATGCTTCCATTTCATAATCACCATATGCTTCTAAGTTTGTGTACTTTGAAATACTTACTATGTTCCAACCACTCGGTTGGTTTTTGCTTGCGTTTGGTCTTCGCCAAACATTTTAGCCAGTCCAAAATCTGAGATCTTTGGGTTCATAGTAGAATCCAAGAGGACATTGCTAGCTTTTAAATCCCTGTGGATAATTTTTAGTCTAGAGTCTTGATGAAGATATAAGACACCTCGAGCGATTCCAAATATAATTTCAAAACGTATTTTCCAGTCTAACAACGAGCTTCTCCTTTTATCTGACCCAAAACATGAAACCTCCAGTCAGTATGCAGAGTTGGGAAATTAAGCACAAGCTAACATGTACAAGTTCTGTTGTAATAATTTATAGTTTAGTTCATCTAAGTTATGAGAAGCATTGTTTATCAAATTACAACAATGGCTACTCGTGAATTGAAAAGTATACCAAATATGAAGAAGTCCAAGCTTTTGTTTGTCAAGTATTCATAAATCAACATCTTCTCTTTTGTATGAATGCAGCAACCAAAAAGCCTCACCAGGTTCCTGTGCTGAAGTTTTGCTATCAACATAACCTCATTCTTAAATTGTTCTAGACCTTGCCCCGAATTCTTTGATAGTCTTTTCACAGCCACCTCTTGTCCATTAGCTAATAGACCCTGAAATTGTCATCCTGACTTTAGTTTAGTGATTTAAAACAGTAATGAAAACTATGAAATAAGCAATTCAGAGATCAATTTAATTACAAAGCTATCATGTTTCACATACCTTATAGACTGGGCCAAATCCACCTTCGCCGAGCTTGTTAGCAGCAGAGAAATTGTTTGTAGCAGCAACTATGCTTTTTAGGTTAAAAAGTGTCAGGTCTTGATGTGTTCTACTGTCATCATCATTCTTCCTTTCCCAGGGATATTCTTTAAAATAGAATTACTTTAATTATTTTGTCTAGAAAACAAACTATACAACAGAAAGGAAAAATGCATACTGGGTAACTGCAATTACTATATAAAGATTAAGAGTTAAGTTAATTCACATTTTGGTCTCAACTCAACCTATTCTAGTTCATGTGTGTATTCTTTGCAGCACTTATTCTACACCAAATTCTATGATGCTGGCAGTGAAACCATACATGTCATATGACTCACTTGATATTAAAAGAAAACGATTAGGAAGTTTGCTTACTTTTTCTCGTCCTCTTTGAACACCAACATCCAAAGCAAATGAAGAAGGATATCATAGCAATAGACGCTACCAAAATTGGCTGCATCCCTTTTTTGGCAAGAAAACCCTTGGACTTCTTTGTGTACTCAGCTAATGTGGGAAACAAAAAGAAGAAGAAAAACCTCAAATATTGACTATGCATGAGAAATAAAAGATGTGCAATGTTAGTACATAAAAACGTTTTTCTTCTGCTTTGATTCAGGAGAGGAGAATGGTAAGAATCAAACTGTGTTTTAGAAATGTTAGAGAAGTTGTCAATAAAAAAGAATACCTAACTCAAGTGCATCTACACGTAGGTATAAGTCTTGATCCCCATCTGCAAATTTCTTTGTATCTACTAACTTCCCATACCATGTCATGCACCCTATTATAGGTGCATTGCTGCTGATGGTGTATGCCAAGCAAGAGCAATCCCTCAAGCACTGCTGCTCACATGCTTTCCTACTCAAATTCATATCCACCCGTGCCCACGATGTATCAGGGACCATCACTTTTACTAACTTGATGAAACCTTCCCCGTTCTTGCACGACTTGAGCCTCCTCACGCAGCCACTAGATGCATTTCTCATGTTCCATTCATCTGGCAACTTGGGTTGGAACCCTGGTAGGCATTTGCATTCAAACACGTTGATACTCTCCGAGTCACAGTAACCAAACGCTCCACACCTGCCATAATAATCACATTTGTCCGTGGGGCCAGACCAGATTTGATTCCATCCAAGGTCTTGTTCATACCAGTTAAATTGTTGGATCGTTCCAGAATAGTCTACCACAATTCTTGTGGAGATAGATGAGTTGAGAAGATCCCAAGTAACAGTAACCTCATCTTGATTGTTCAAAAAGGTAGATTTTGAGAAAGAAGTAGCTAGGACTACCGGTATGTCACTCCACCACCACCTACCAGTCCTCCAGTATCGAACATTACCATTGTACAAGATAATCTGAGGAGCTCCATTTGGGTCAATCGCATAGGTGTAACTCCCGGTTCCCGGGTCATCTTCGGATTTCCAGGAAGTTAGGAACCAGTTGAATCCTGTCCGCTTGTTTATTCCAAGTTTCATGAGTGGGAGCACTGTATGAGTGAGATAATCAAAGCTTTGCCATGTTACCTTTTGGTTGTCTTGTTCAACCAAAACGAGGTTTCCAGTATCTAAGAGCTGAGCTTTGTATTTAGGATCAGGTGTGGATGATGATGAGATTGAAACATTGGATTTGGTGGACCAGATAGTAATGTTGCTTTGGTTCCTGGCGTAGAGGATGAGGTTTCCATGTGCACCAATTGATAGGACCCCTGAGGTTTCACTGATAGGATCGTCTCTGTTTGCAACCCATACAACTGTTTTTTCTTTATCTCTCTTGTACCAGATTCCAACATAGCGGTTGGTGGATTTTCCAGGGCTGAAGAAACCAAGCTCAAACACTTCTCCATTAGAGACTAGAACTTCACCATCTCTAATGGCTTGATCAGTTGTTATGCTATCTATCGAATTACAGCATCGGATAAGAAGAACGAATTGAACAAGTGCTGTAACGATTAAACCTTTCGTAAAATTCATGAACATATTTTGTAATGAAATGCGACTGAGCCCCAGAGAAGAAGTATGGTCCATTAAGAAACTTCAACAACTATCATGTGGTCAGAATTTGCTAACTCTAAGATCTTTCAATAATTTATGGAATCTACTCTCGGATTGACTGAGTATATAAGAAGACTAGGAAGTCCACTATGGCAGCTTTACACTCATTATTATTTTATTTTTTTGCTGTTTGACATTTATATTATTTTCTAGCTCAATATGGCTACCAACTATCACAGCCAATATACAAATCAGCTTTGTGGAATCATGAGTCAACCAAACGGCGTTGTAGTAACTTTGGAGTCTCTGAGACATTCTCACACTGTAATGGTTTTTAATTTTTTTTAATGGGATTGACAGAGTCTATATTATTATTACAGGAAAGAGAGTGTTGGAGTTTGTTGACAGTTCTTAAATACTCTGTTTCAAGACGGGAAAAACAGGGGAGCTAGGGTGAACTTTTGTATACAACTCAGAATGTCAATTTGTTCAACCAATACGCAATTATTACGATTATTATTTTTACTTCAAACCAATATAAATTTCGACCTTAGAACAAGTCTTCAATATATTTTGTACTAAAACAGGATAACCACAGGGGAAGCAACATATTCTACTAAACAATTACAACCATGACTTTTGTTGGAACAATTACAAAATATTGTCTTAAGTTTGATAACAAATGGCAATACATAAGACTTAACTGTAAGACAAGAAAAAAATGAATATGATGTACAACATATATGTCATTAGCGTGCTTTGAGCACCGTCATCGTTACATCATTTAGAGAAGGAGTTGATCCTTTTGATGCTGCTGAGTTTAGTTTGCTGGATGATTGTAATATAAATGCAGGTTTCTTGGGATAGGGAAGAGTTGTTTCATTACCCAACATGAAAATAACTTCCAACATGGTTGGCCTATCTGATGCACTTTCTTGCACGCAAAGTAGCCCAATCTGGATGCATCTTGAAACTTCATGAGCAGGATATGACTCCCCCAAAGATGGATCAACCATACCTAATGCTTGCTCCTCTGTCCACATATCCCAAATCTGATGCAATTCAGAAGATCGGTTTAGCACAAGATTTGAAAGTAAAGATTTGTAAGTCATTGCATATGTATTTTAGAAATAGTTTGAATTGCCTACTTGTCCAATCAAATTTGGGGAGGGATCATAACTAGTGTTCCTTTTGCCACTAATGATCTCTAGCAGTAAAACACCGAAGCTGAAAACATCAGATTTTTCTGAATACCGCCCTTCCATTGCATATTCTGGTGACATGTAGCCACTGCAGTCGGGGAAAATTGAGATAAACTAGTAAGCTAGTTCAGTGTTTCATAATAATCACCTTATGCTTCTAAGTGTATTCACTCTGTGAAATACTTACTATGTTCCAACCACTCTGTTTGTATTTGCTTGGATTTGGTCTTCCCCAAACATTTTAGCCATTCCAAAATCTGAGATCTTTGGGTTCATTGTAGAATCCAAGAGGACATTGCTAGCTTTTAAATCCCTGTGGATAATTTTTAGTCTTGAGTCTTGATGTAGATATAAGACCCCTCGAGCTATTCCCAATACAATCTCAAAACGCTTTTTCCAGTCCAACAATGAGCTTCTGCTTTTATCTGGTCCAAAACATGAAACATCCAATCTCAGCATGCAGCTTGGGGAAAGCAAACGCTAACATTTACAAGTTCTGCTGTAACTGATTCTTCATATATGCTTTAGTTCATTTAATCTATGAAAAGACGTACCAAATATGAAGAAGTCCAAGCTTTTGTTCGCCAAACATTCATATATCAACATCTTTTCTTCAGCATCAATGCAGCAACCAAAGAGCCTCACCAGGTTCCTGTGCTGAAGTTTTGCTATCAACATAACCTCATTCTTAAATTGTTCTAAACCTTGCCCTGAATTCTTTGATAGTCTTTTCACAGCCACCTCTTGTCCATTAGCTAAAAGACCCTGAAATTGCCATTCTGACTTTAGTTTAGTGATTCAAATTTGAAAACAGTATTGGAAATGTCATGAAAATAAGCAATTGTGAGATACGTTTAATTAGGAAGTTATCATGCTTCACATACCTTGTAGACCGGGCCAAATCCACCTTCGCCAAGCTTGTTAGCAATAGAGAAATTGTTTGTAGCAGCAACTATGCTGTTTAGGTCAAAAATTGTCAGGTCTTGATGTGTTCTTCTACTATCATCATTCTTTGTTTCCCTTGGATATTCTTCAAAACAGAATTAAATTACTTTAATTTTGTTGCCTAGAAACTGAACTATACAACTGAAAGAAAAAATGCTTACTATATAGGGATTAGGATTAAGTTTCGGCCTTTTTTAATTCATCTGTGTATTTTTTGCAGCATTTATTCAACACCAAATTCCATTATGTTGGCAGTGAAATGATACATGTCAGATGACTCACATGATGTTAAAAGCAAAAGAGTAGGAAGTTTGCTTACCTTTTCTCTTCCTCTTTGCAAACCAACATCCAAAGCAAATGAAGAAGAATACCACAGCAATAGACACTACCAAAATCGGCACCATCCCTTTTTTGGCAAGAAACCCCTTGGACTTCTTTGTGTATTCAGCTAATGTGGGAAACAAAAAAAGAAGAAGAAAAACCCTCAAATATTTTCTATGGATGAGAAACAAAAGATATGCAATGTTAAGAATCCAACAATGTTTTGATTCAGGGAGGAGAATGGTAAGAATCCAACCGTGTTATGTTAGAGAAGTTGTCAATAAGAAAGAATACCTAACTCAACTGCATCCACACGTATGTACAAGTCTTGACCCCCATCTGCAGAATCCCGTGTATCTACTAAATTCCCATACCATGCCATGCACCCTATCATATTCTCATTGCTGTTGATGGCGTATGCCGAACAAGAGCAATTTCTCAAGCACTGCTGCTCACATACTTTCCAACTCAAATTCCTATCTATCTGTGCCCACGATGTATCAGGAATCTTCACTTTTTCTAACTTGACGAAACCTTCCCCGTTCCTGCATGCCTCGAGCTTCCTCACGCAGCCACTCGATGCATTTCTCATGTTCCATTCATCTGGCAACTTGGGTTGGAACCCTGGTAGGCATTTGCACTCAAACACACGGAGACTCTCCGAGTCACAGTAACCAAACGCTCCACACCTGCCATAAATATCACATCTGTCCCTGGGGCCAGACCAGATATTATTCCATCTGAGGTCTTGTTCGTACCAGTTAAATTGTTCGATCGATCCCAAATGGGCTGCCACGATTCTTGTGGAGATGGATGAGTTGAGGACACCCCAAGTAACGATGATCTCATCTTGATTGTTCACATAGCTGGCATTGAAGATTTTAGTATCTAGCACTACCGGTGTGTCACCCCACCACCACCTAATCCCATTCCAATTACCAGTCCTCCAGTATCGAACATTACCACTGTACAAGATAATCTGAGGAGCTCCATTTGGGTCAATCGCATAGGTGTAATTCCCCGTTCCCGGGTCATCCTCGGATTTCCAGGAAGTCAGGAACCAGCTGAATCCTGTTCGCTTGTCAAGGCCAAGTTTCATATGCGGAAGGATTGTATCCGTGGGGTAGTCAAAGCTTTGCCATGTCACCTTTTGGCTGTCTTGTTCAACCAAAACAAGGTTTCCAGTATCTAAGAGCTGAGCTTTGTATTTAGGATCAGGTGTGGATGATGATGAGATTGAAACATTGGATTTGGTGGACCAGACAGGAATGTTGGTTTGGTTTCTGGCGTAGAGGATGAGGTTTCCATGTGCACCAATTGATAGGACCCCTGAGGTGTCATTGATAGGATTGTCTCTGTTTGCAACCCATACAACTGTTTTTTCTACATCTTTCTTGTACCAAATCCCAACATAGTGGTTGGTGGATTTTCCAGGTCTGAAGAACCCAAGCTCAAACACTTCTCCATTAGAGACTAGAACTTCACCATCTCTGATGGCTTGATCAGTTGTTATGCTATCTATCGAATTACAGCACTGGATAAGAAGAACGAATTGAACAAGTGCTGTAATGGCTAAACCTTTTGTACACTTCATGAACATATTTTGTCATGAACATTTATCTCTGTAACTCGATTATATTCAAAGATTAAAGAAACTTCAACACCTATCAGCTGGTTAGAATCAGCCTGGCTCTAAGATCTTTCAACACCTCATCGATTTGACCACTCTTTTCTGGGATTGACTGGCTATGTAAGAAGACTAGGAAGTCCACTATGGCAGCTTTACGCCCTTTCTTTAATGTTTGTGTTATGAGTGGGGACATTTGTTTACTTTTCTAACTCAATATTGTACACCTCAAGCTATATTGACGCTAAGGTCCGCTGCTGCTTTAGCTTATGTTTTTAAATGTATGTAGATTTGACTGCAACGACAGTTGTTATATTTTTTATACTAAGGCAGGGGAAAAACAGGGGAACTGGGATGCTACAAAATATCACAGCCAAGACTTTTATATACAACTCAGCTTTGCACATGTCTTCATGGAATCATGCATGACTCAACCAAACGACCTTTCTTTGAAACATTTAGGTGATTCTAAATCTATTTTCATAGAAATTTGTTGAAAAATAATGCCCATTTGTGTTCTCTACACAGTTCTAGAAGAATCATGAATACAAGTATGGTCCTAGAGTTGTGGAGAACATTATCAAGGCTATGTCTGATAGACAATGATAATTGAAGATGGAAGAACTCTCTAGAGCAAGAACACTCATGTTACTAGACTATGGCGATGGAGCATGATGACTAAACAATAGCCACAAAACACTAAACACTAAACACCTTCTAGTTGAAGAAGGCCAATTAGCCTAATCCTATGTACACCAAGCTATGTACTATTCTCCTCTAATGTAATAAAATCACTTTGTTCAACTATTGTCCTAAACCCCTTCACCACATAAACCAACAATGGTATCATAACAACATCACTCATAATCACCCTACAATCTAACAAGTGGTATCAGAGCGTCACAAACACTCATCACACACCTCCTTACAATTCCAACAAAATTACTGACTTATATATATTTATATATTAATCTGCCATTTCAGGAAAACATTTCATGGTGAGAGCATGGTTGGTTCTAATAAATCCTTGGTGATGCATGGACAATTTGGAGTGTAGTGTTTTA